TCACGCCCTGGCCTGAATCTATTCTTAGTCGATTGCCCAGGCTGCTACTTCCCTGAGGCCGGCTGTCCCAAATCGGAGCAAGGAATAATCCTTTGCGGGCCTTACCCTAAACCCTAAACCCTAACAGTTAGAGTACGGCTTGAGGTTACAATGATGAAGAGAGCATCTTGGCCCTTCACGCCAACCCGGCCACAAGCCACAGATACTGAACACCCTGACTTACGAGCGGCCCAGAAACTTGAAGAAGAAGTCCTCCGAGGGTCTGGGAAGGGCCCTTCATAGAGCGAAACTTACGGAGGTGGGGCGAGTTTCTGAGAGCTGTCCCTCTCAGAATCTGCTGACTGCCCTCCATTTGGGGGGTGTGGCTTAGCGAATCTATGGGCTTGTCCCGAGCAAAGGGCAAGGGATTGCGACTGTAAGCTGTCTGAGGTTCTGAGAGCTTAGGCTAGTGGACTTGTGTATGTCGCTCGAATACGAAACAAGGACGATAGAGTAGGTGAAAAACGGGTGTAGCTTCATGGGAAGTATCAAGCCTGCGAAGATGCATCTGAGCCATTTGCAGACTCCTTTGACAAAGCTCTCTTTCAAGCAGTTATCGGAGTCGTGCATAAAGGCTCATCTGAATTAGGCAGAACTAGCTCCGGTGCACATGTTTGTCATCGCTCCGTCGACATCGTGCCATGCCCCGACGGAAGTGAGCGCTCCAATCCCAACTAGAGCCTCCGAAACTTCCACGGCCAAAGTTCGGGAGATACACTCTGCAAACAGCTAGGTTCCAAATGAGCCGGAGGCCGCTGCCCCCGAGTAAGGTTTTATGGGCCACTTCGCATCCTCGGAATGATTCAGCTTCAGGCTCTCACTAGTTTCATTGAGATTCTAGCGGAACGACTATCGTTGTCAGCTTCTTACGATTTGTAGATGTGCTGTCGCTGTTGTTCTCATCGTTGAATTGACAAACACACACATTTTCACTATTCCAGATGTCACAGCACCCATGGAGCTGGAGCCAGGAACTAGAATCCTGGGGAGCAGCGGCTTCACTTGAAAGGACGGCGGATGTCGGGTTTGGGTAGAAAGTGTCCGCACTTGCGAAACCAGAAAGCTGAAGCAAGGAGAACCCACTCATCCCAGCTATGCCACCCCGTGCTGTAAACTTCACCTCCCTGCGGTTGGTGCCCCAAGGCCTATGTACTCGAGAAGCTCTAATAGACTGCAGCCCAGACTGCGTGAACGAGTCACATGGGACCAAGCCCTGCGTTGCAGCTCACTTCCTCGTGATACTCAGGAAGACTCCGAGGCTGCCAAGAAGAAAGCCGCACCTGGGCTGCAGGCTTTTCAGCACTTGGTGCACGTCTCGATTTGTGTGTGTGTGTGTGTGTCATCCTTGCGCCAAGAAGGCCATGCTAATCTTCTCTGTATCGTTCCAACTGTATCGGATGATCCAGGGTTCGGGGGTTGACGAGTTGACGTAGCCGGCCTTCCTGCGGGGTTTCCTGTGGTTGGTAGGGTGTAGAGACTGCACGCAACTCATTCTGGATCCTTGGCTTGAAGGTTTAGGACTGTTTGGAGAAAGCAACAGCAGTGACAGTACGAGCAGTGCGATCGATGATGGGGATGGTGACCGTGACGTTGATAAAGACCATGACGTCGATGTTGTGGACGAGGAGAAGGACGCGTGAAAATTATCAGACACTGTTTTCTGTTCAGTTCAACCGTCGTCCGTTGATTCATGGTTTTAATGCTCTCATTCGGACAGGCTACTTGCTTCTTGACTCGTTCTGTGGTTCTCATTAGGGGGGAGCCGCAGTGTCGGGTGCCTTCGAGACCAGGCGCATCACCAGGACAACTTCCTGCACGGCACGACCCGGGGCCTTGCCGCCGCTCTGTCGGCGAAGGCCTCGGGACATCAATGCCGGGGCCACGAAGACCTCGGGCACGTGAACCGCAGTAGTGGCTTGGGTAGCGGTTGATTACAATGATACCAGACCCACCGAGTTTTAGTCTAGCAGACAGTTTAGCCGTCGCTGCAGCATGCTGCAGCAGCTTACTGAGGAGGATTCAACTAGGCGGCCGCGACGTCAGTCGGGCATACCATGCGAAGCGAAGGTATTCTAAGACATGCGAATTGCTTTGCGGTGAGGTGTGCGGCATGTGAATGTAAACACTGTGCGCACTTGCCAAGGTCCAACGAACGCAAGTGGCGGACAACCAGCTCACCCAAATGAGCAGCATTCGAACACCAACAATCCTTACACCAAACTCGTGGGCTCTGAGCTTATTGACCATTCCCGGCTCGCAAAGACTTTCCGAGCAGCAACAACAGCGACCCTCACAAACAAGCATGTGCATGCGTCATGCATGCCAAGTCTGTCGATTCCCGTGGGGCACAATGTGTACTAGTGTCTGAAACACAAACAGGAGGTCGACACGGAGAACCCCAAGCGACGACATTGTCGCCCGGATGTTCCACGACTCTGACGAGCACTCGCTAATTGGAACTCTTCACACAGCTCGCGACAGAGCTACACAAACCTTCGCACAGGTCTTCACAAGTCCAAATCTCTGCTCGGCGGCAATAAAACTTCCCATAGTCGCACCGGTGACTGCTTGCACCTTCCCCAAATCCTCTGCAAGGCAAGGCTTGTTTCAATGTGGACCAGGTTTATATAGCATGGCTGTGGTTTCTGTACAGCAGCTTCGGGAAAGAAAACAGAACACAACCGGTGCAAGTGTGCACGAAGTCTCGAACTGGGAACCCCGAACGAATGTTCATTTGGTTTTGGCCTACGGATGCGCACGAGCTGGTAACAAGCAGCAAGGGTGTCAACTCGATTCACGTGGGCTTATAGCATGAATTTGCAGGGATGGGTGAGGGCCAATGCCACAAAACACTGCACGAAGGATCAGCGACCACGGAGCTGGGCCCACAGGGGTGTAGCCCTGTTCAGTGACATCACATCGCCTCATCCCGAAGGTTCAAGACATCCCGATGAATCATAGGCGGGATGGCCCCATATCTTACCTTTTGAAACATGAAATGTCACCTCTAAGTTGTGCAGCCAGACAGGAGCAGCCGCCCATGTCGCGGTGTGGATGCAAGATGTTATCGGTGGCAAGAATAGCATGCATGTGCGGAAGGTCCCCTACAGTCATGAACATCTTGCGAAACCCCGTCGCACGTCGCAAGCAGAGCTACAGGTCATCAGAGCAGTTTTTGATCAAGGACCGCAGTTCGCCTAGTTCGAAAAGCTGACGTGACGGTGGCAGTGCGACTAGGACGCGTCTCATAGATTAGATTGACTGCGGTGCGCTACGGGCACTCGGAAATCAATTCTTGCCTCAACGCAGCTCCGGCCTTGCATTGCAGCTTTCTGAGCATTTATGTGTTTGCGGCACGTGGTGCATGATCAATGGTTAATCTCGCTGTAGTGTATAGAAAGACGGTTGTATGTTCCCGGGTCGGTGACACAAGTCAGCGAATGAGGTCTGAAGCGGGTGCTGGGGGCCGTACATCAACTTTTTGTTTTTGTTGTCCTTCGCGCTTTCTTCGTCTGGGTAGTAGTAAGTCTTGACTTACTACGGCCTCTCAAAGCTGAAAGCCCGTAAATCCTCCGTCCGCAAGGTCTCAACATCATTAGATCCCGAGGCTTTGTTGTGAGGAAGCCGGAGCATGTGCTTTTCTGCGGCACTGGCAGGATGCAGATCATGTCAACACAAAGAAGAGCAAGCACATGAAAGAATCGACCCGAGCAAGGCCCAAGCTTCGCGAATCCTTCCCCACACCGGAAACTTCGACGTGGACATCCAATCGGTTCGGTTTGAAGCTGCTTCCGCACCAGTGAAGCCGAAGCGGTAGCATTCCATAAGGACTCAGCCAAGCATACAGCAGAACGCAGCCCCAAACTTCAAAAGGCCAGTCAAGAGGACGCTACATGGACAGCGAAGAAGCCTAGAACGGATAGTTGACAACCCTTTTGCATGCCACGATCGAGGGGGCCTTCTGGGTCCCTATCCCACCCTATCCCATAGATTTGAAGGTGTTCGCATCAGCTTCTTCTGTGTTGATGAGCAATCTCATAGAAACGGTGTCTAGACGTGATGATTCCGCAAACTATGGGGCTGGGGATGTGCACTGTCTCTGGGGGCTTGAGCCTCTAGGTTCTGGCGCCTTGTATTCAAGCATCTAAGCCTCTGGCGAGGCTTTTTCGAAAGGCAAGTAGGTGCTGCGACTTGTCCGTGACATTACTAACGAAAACGACGTGCGCAACAGTAGTGTCAATGCTGCTTTCGGCATTCAGCAGGATTTAGGAGTGGATGCAGAGGATGTAAACCAATACTCACCCTCACAAGATCCTCAGAGAATAGTTCTGTAGGCAATAATCAGCATCCCACCCCCTCCTGAAGACTCTACTCTCTACTCGAGGCGATCCATGCGATTCACGGTCAAGCAGAGCCATTGTTTGCAGCATGCCTTCAATACCAAGGCAAGTCCAGTGGTAGCCTCAGGTGCAGGTTGGGATGCATGTGTGATGTCAGCGGCAACCGTATCCTTATCGTTCTCATGATGTGTATACACATACTAGTGATGATTAACGTTGCTGTATTTCCACAAGCGGCTTTAGCCATTAGGGGCTCTGACTCTGTGAAGCCTTTGCAGCCTGTCTGTACGGGCGTGCTGTCGAGGTGCGCGGCATACAGGGGCAGGCAAGAATCAACATGGGCTCATGGGTTCTGGGTGCAGGAGCAATTCAGAATTCAGGATCAGCTAGACTTGACTGGCACCATACCTGTCAATTCGTCAGCTTACTTTGCTCGCACGGGTTGGCTGCTCCTGTGGGAGACAGAGCGAGCACGCACAGATTCAGACGTTCAATTTCCGGCCAGCAACCGCAAATTTAAATTTAGACTCGTCACGGTGAGCATCGTATCTGGCAAGTTGCAGAAGGGCACACATTAAGAGAGTGAGTTCAATCAGAAAGCAAGCCCAAACAAACAAGACGTCATGAAGCCGAAGGGGCAGTCAGCAGGGCCACGGTCAGCCATCGCACCGCCGGCTTGTCCATCGTGAAGCCTTTTTTCTTGGCCATGGCCACGACCTCAAACATACAAACTGTTTCGATCTCCCCGAAAGTTGATTTTTTGTTGGGGGGGAGCCATTTAGCTCCCACCCAGGTACCTGTATCGAGACCTGCATCCTGTCTGTAGCCCGTTCGGTGATAACGGCAGAAGTGCTGACAGCACTGTGCATGACCTTGTTGTATGAGGTTACTTCTACCCAGGACCCCTCTCAACAGACTCTGATTGAGAACACTGCGCTGCACACCCTAATCAATCCCGGAGCCTGAGATTTTGCTCTGTCTGTGACAAGCTGATCCGAAACGAAGCGTGGCCTCCGATTTCAGCAGCATGAAGTTGAGGGGGAATCCTGGGATTGCAAGTTCAGGGCTCTCGCACGTGAGAGTTCCAGACTGGGAGTGCGCGTAGTCTAGTTCTGTTGTTTCCAAATTTCAAAGCTCAATGCTCGGTCTTATTGCAAGTACTGATGTTGTTGGTACGGTGTCGCGATTATTGTCTTAACTAGCGGGGCTACCAAATGCTACGGGTAATGCTGGCAATAACAGCACCCCGAACTGGACAGCATCTGCGACAGGGCCGACCCGGTCCCGTGCGCAAAACATACATGCCCAGTTTGTGCAGTCAATCCTACTTGCTTGCTTGTCGGTGCGGTTGCATCTGTGGCCGAGGCGTGTTCATGCATATGTGAGGTCGTGAAAATTCAAGATGTTGCAGGGCACGGTGGCCACAGTCAGGCCGGCGCCCTGTCCTGATACCTAAACCTTCGTGGCACTGCATCTGCTTTCTGCAGACCTTCAGTATCATCCCGACACCGCCTGCAAACTACCTCAACACAGCCGTTTCGGTAAGATGGGAAGCCTTGATAAGCAGAGTTCGGACAAAGGCCTCTAGAATTTCGCCGGGGAGCCACACAGAATGCTGATCATCACGCCCATCTTTCCAAGCGAAGCTGCCTTTATCAAAGGAGTTGAGGTTTAGTAGCATGAAGAATCCCGATATCAGGCTATGAACCTAGACTCGGGGAAGCTTGAAATTAGTCGTTCGAGTTGAAATTTCGACGAGCTTGGAAAATTTGGGATCCCACGAAATCCGAGGAGACAAGAGTTGGTAAGTCTGGCTAGGACCTCGTGAAGCCCAGCATAAACCTCGATCGCAAGCACCGGTACAACTTCTATAAGCAAACTGACAAAGAGACACTTACCATCTACGACCCATGCCTGCGAGGAGCGCGACAGCAAATGTCAGAAAACATCAAAGCCTTAAGCTAGGCTTGTCCGGGAATTTAATGGACCCGTGGGAGGCTCCGAATCCACATCAACCCTGCCCAGGCACAAGGTCGCGGGTGGCGTAGTTCGCCAGAAGCAGACCTTGGGTGTTCGCGCCGAAGGTGAAGAAGCCGGCGGCCATCAAAGACTCGGCGTGGGCACCGTGCATTCTACATATACTTCATTGATACTGGGTTGGTACTGCTATTCTGCTTGGTCCTTTACATCTCTTGAGAGCTCTGCAGTCGAAGGTTGCGGGGTTCGGGGCCGGGGCCACCGATGAGGCCTAGAGTCGCGGTTTTGTTTTGCAGTAGTTCCGCCGCTTTTTCGGAGTTTGTCTACATCCACCTGCTAGGGTCATTGGAACAAATGATCTGCTCCAGGTGACTGATGCCTTAACTAAACTTATCTCCAAGTCGCTTAGACCGGCATCTGAAACCTTCGAGTCCCCGAAGTCACGAATACCCTGAGCCCGGAATACTGCAGAAATTCAATTCTAGAAAATGTCGCAACAGCTCAGGGGCTGTGCAAACGCCGCCGGTGATGATAAAGGCGAGAGTAACGGCCTGACGAAGTGATGGCTCTCGTGAGGACATCGAGTGCCCTATGAACTTTATCAAGGATTGGACACGAGCCGCGTCCACCACAAAGTGATGTCCAAACTCATGCGAGCATTACCGGTTGTCTGTGTAAGGGTGGTTCTACTTTAGGACTGCAGTTGAGTCACATACTATAATCCATTACACAAGTGCCCAGAGTTGCCTAAAACTGTTTGCAATGATCACAGTACTCGGAGCAACCGAAACTTCGGACTGCACTGCACAAGCCTTCCGACCGGCTGAAGTACCAGTATCCAGCAACTTGTGGTTCTGTGGTGCGTGCTCAAGACAAGGAACACTTCTGCTATATCGACGCCTGATAGTTTCAAGACTCTACAGGACTTGCTTAAGACTTCCAAGCATAGTCCTGCAGGATTCCCAGGTAACTGCACAGTTCTGCGACTTTTTTCCGAGTTGCAAGAGCATAGCGACGAAGGTTGCTTTTCTTGGAGCTGCCGCTCTGGACAAGCTCCTGGAGACAGGATGTTTTGTAAGAAACGCAGATGTCCCGTGCTCTGAACCCCGGAGGCCTACACCAGATGCTTCAGATGTCAATTTTCAGTTTGATACGACTAGGAGCCAGTGGGACAAAGATCTCTTCCTTGAGCCTGGAGCTACCTTTAGTCCGAAACCCAAGCCATCCAGCAGATGCCGAGCCCCGAACAACAAGGTCGATGGAGCGGGCCGTCTGAAGCCTGAAACCTACAAACTGCCGTCAAGCAGAGCCAGGCCAGTCCTGGTATGTTGCCGGTGCCATCCCATGGTTCATGTATGCCTCAGATCGGAGCATGTCATATTCGGAAAGTAACGGGCAACAGTAGCCGGACAAAATATCCAGTCATGCCAAAAGCAGGAGGGAGTTTGAACCTCAGGACAGAAACAAAGGCATGCACTAACGATAACGACAAACAAAACATCACGACAAGCTCCATCAGGGGTTGGGGTCTACAGCCGAATGAAGACATGACCCCCCCCCCCCCCCCCAAGCCAGGCTTCCCCTTCCGCATCAGTAGCTTGGTGACGGTTGTAAACGGAGCAATTCCGCGTCGTTCTCCAGCCCTTAGCAGCCTATCCTCAAGACACCATGCACCCACTTCTTTGCGATATGATTGGATCCGGGCATCATAAACAAGCTTTGGCGCCGTCAGAATTTTAATTTAAACCCGTTCAGGCAAGCAGCTAAGCCTAAGGCTCAATGGCAAAGCCAAGCGGCCGAGCCCCTCCTCCCCATCACCGATTTGAGCGAGTCACTGTGCTGATGTTCGATAAGAAGACCAGGACCCGAGGGTTCACGGCATCCGACAGCTGGCCTCGGTTACAAGCCGATCTCATCTCGATGCCCATGCCAGGAACTTCGGGGCCAAAGGAAGACCTGTGCCATCCGTTATGTTATCAGCAAGGGCGCTGCGATTGGCTGGAGCCGTGAAACGCAGGGGCAGTCCAAAACATGCATAATTATCGAAATCCAATGAAGTATAGGTACCGGAGGGGCTTCTCTAAGTAACAGGCAATGTAGTAGCAATGCTTGCATGGGTCTCCGAACTTAGTGTTGTCGGTACATCTTTGACCAGCTCAGAAGAGCACTATGCGTTTATTCAAGCCCTAAGCCACGACAGACCTAGGACCTATCACGCACACACACCAGGATTTCTAGCTGCAGGCCCAGATGCTAGCGCTGATCAAGGCCATCGGCGCATATGGCGCAGCACGGAAGAACTTACCTCCCTTGAGGTAACTGCCATCCTGGGGTGGGGAGGCTGGGGCGGCTGGGGGCACGATACAACTTGTAGGCTCTTGGCAGTTCGGGCTGAACTGGCGTCTTCGGTGCCCGAGGCTTATGGGGTTGTGGGTTGTCCGGGTCGGCTGCATGGAAGGTTTGCTGGTTCAAGCGGCAGTCCTCCGTTTCTGCTGAGGTTCATGCTGTCCCAATCTCGAGGCGGAAGGGTAGCAGGCACAGTTCACAGTCAGTGGGAGTTAAAATAGCCTCGGACCTGGGCTAGCTCACCTCCACGGACAATTAGGTTGCCAGCTGCTGCTCAGCTCTCATCGTGTCAGAAACTTCGGTTTGCTACGGGTGTAGTATCCCACACATCCCCAACACCTGCATTTAGTACGGCTGGAAGCCTGACAACTATCTTACCACTGTTCTGCAGCCATGCCACCAGCGCACGCAGCGCGCAGAATGCCGACAAGTAGACGCCTCGAGTGGCTCACTCTAGGCTCAAGTGCTAGCGCTGGGCCACAAGTCTCGAATCGACACGGCCGCAGAAGCTTAATGCTGTCTTAATGTTGTTTAGAAGTGTGTACAAGTGAAGTGTACAGTACCGCGTCAGAAGCAGCGGCTGAATCTCCGCAAAAAGCTCATAAGGACAGCAGTCCAGGAGATAGGAAGGACCCGGCACTGCCAAGGTCCATATTGATCCGAAGACCAGGGTCAGCCGGTGGAGGGAGACTGTAGGGAGCATGTGCAAAGGAGCGCGTGAGCAGTTCCGCGATGGAAACAGCGACAACCGAGCAAGCCACAGCCTGCTAAGATATGTCCTGATGGAAGCCCGAGCCTAATTTTGAGGGCCAGCACTGTCCAAGCAAACGCAGACTATGAAGTCAGCTGAGGACGCAGCATGCAGCAAGGCCCAGCATTGAAGTGAAGGCCAAGCTCCTTTGATTAAGCTAGCAGCTAAAGCACTACGGTTGAGCAGCTGCCGGGTTGGAGGCAACGATTGCCGGGCCTCGCATTCGAAATCGGGCCAGGGGGCGTTTTAAGCGGGTAATGAGCAATGACATATAGGTCTCAGATGCAGGGATTGCAGTGCCTACTGGGCCTGTAGGGTTTGGTCAGAGCTGCAGCATCTACAGGGCTTTCAGTTGGCTCCAGGCTTCGAACCATACGGCAGAATGCTGAGGTGCGGGTCCGACATGACCAGGGAACCAAAGGTTGCATACCAAAGGTCGAGAAGTCTTCTGCCAGGCACATTGGAAGCAGAACGCACACGGTGAGGCTGATCCTGAGAAGCTCATCGTGCTCTCATGCAAGAAGTCGCTGAGAAGACTCTCTTGTTTTTTGTTGAGGAGGGGCTGCGGCGTGCTCTGAGAAGACTGAATGTCCAAATTTTGACACATAAGGGTCTGTTCATGAGCCTTCAGGCCACACTATCATTTGTTCCATCTGGACTAGAGTGACTAGAACCAAGCAGCGTTACTTGCTGGCTTGCACCCTAAACTCCCAAAACAACCCTCGGCCGAAATGCATCCTTGTCCGGCAAGGAGCAAAACGGGAGCACGGCTGCAGTATAGCTTCAGGGCTCCTGAAGCCAAAAGTTGCCAAAGTTCTATCGAACACAGTGGCATGTCCAGGCCGTAACCAATTGCTGAACTTACGGGGCATTGCGGCGTTTTTCATTGGTTGGGTCCATCGGTGCAAGCCGTACAAACGAATGTGCAGCATGCATGTGGTTGCGAGACTTATGATGCACGGATCAACACTACATCTGCTTTTACTGTTCTGGGCTGGCGTCTCAAAAAGGGAGAGAGAGAGAGAGAGAGAGAGAGAGCAGAGTGCAGTGGCCTAGGGAAGGGACGGCAGTCAGGAAGGACTGAACAAACTGCGTCAGGAGGTCACCAAGGATCATGGCCTCAAGGCAATGCTGGGGCCACAGTTGCAATTGAATTATGCAGTGCTTCGGGGGGTGGGGCGTCACAGGTCTTGGAGGATCTCGCTGTCAAGGTTTTCCTTGCGGAAGATTGTCCATGATGACCCCAGTTGTTGATAAACAGCGTTCCTTCAAAAAACGCACACTAGAAGCTCGGATGCAGCAACAAAGCAGCACCATAGCAAGTTCGTCGTTGTATCCCATGCATACCCATACCACGCATGCGGATGCTTGCGCAAACAACAGACATTGCCATGTTTGCAGTTTGTCCGCATCTCGACCCTGACCTGTAAACACAGTTTCGGGTAATTGAACAAACATCGCACAGGCTCGTCCTGGGAATCCTGACGGATAGAGGCCCCAACAACAGAATAGGTCCATAGGTATGTTCAGATATCGTGGGTTGTAGTCGGACAGAGCCACTTGAGGAACTGTGACGAATAACGGAAGGCTTGAAACCTCACCCTCAAACCCGAGACTACACCAAGGTTTGCAGGCTGAGGTATCGGCATAAACCGTGCAACTGATGCCGGAAAGAGTACCTGGGTTGGGCTTCAGCAGGTGCTGGGCTTAGGGCCTTAGATGCTCAGGCCGTTCAGGAGTGGGCCTCGGAGTGGGGTCGTTCATACCTGGTCCTGGTCTCATACGTCTTTTATCCATTAATGTGCTCATCTGTTGTATTAGGTCCACGCCGGCCGAAGAGTGGGACCACAACTCCTCCACCGTACCCGGCCGAAGACAGCTTCAGGTTTTCAGAGCACACTAAATCCATAACCGGACGCTAGCTATCTTCATAGGCTGCAGCCCATCATGCTTATCCCTCTTTGTAATCCACAAACACCGATGAATTCAATGATGTATTCAGCGAAATTGTCCCAGGTACGGTGCAGATAGACCAAGACCAGCACTCTTACCTTTCCCACTACTCTCCTCCCAAGGCCCTACATTGTCCCACATCGAACTAAACACAAAAGACCACCAAAGCATAAACGTTCCCGCAGCCAGAGAGCCCACTGCCAGCCGTGGGAGGAAGGCCCACTTGCCGAAACCTCCGGTTGGAGAGCGAAGCGGGTCTTCGGGTTCACCTCGACCCTTAGAAACACTGATTGGGGGTTGAAGGGTCTTATCCCTCCCACATAGCAAAGAGGGTTTAAGGTTTAGGGTTTAGCACAGTCCTTAACCCAAAGCCCCCATTGCCAACTTGAACCCCTCAGCCCTCATCTTGATCCCCCTGGCTCCAGGCCCTCAATCCCCAAAACCCTAGTTAAACCCTATACACGTCACTAGCTCCGACCCACCTGAGGGCTCCAGCTACCTAACTAGCAAATACTCAACTCATCAGTGACTCATCAGCAACCCAGTAGCCCTTTCTTTCTTCTGGTAGCTGGGCCTCAACCCCGATAGTAACCCTCATAGTAAACCCATAAACCCCTAAACCCTATAAACCCTAAACCCTAAACCGAAACTTTGAAGGGGCTTCTAAGCAACAAGTCTCAACCTACAGCCGCAGGGCTGATCTTCCAGGCAGCACCGAGGTCGTCTGCCCCTGTATCCTGGGTAGAAACGATGGTGGAACTTACGGTTTAGGGTAGTATGAACCATCTGAGCCCTTGCCTAAGCCCTGAATTTTCGGGCTCACTTGCTTTACTCTGTATGGTGGCTGTTTTTGCTTCGGGCCCAACTGCTTTTGAGGGTTTTTGGAATTTTGGAAAAAGGAAAAGCCAAGACATGCCGATGACTTTCAAAGTGCTGCACTGGCCTTGGGACCTTTGTCGGCTTTCGTGTGTGCTCCGCCCTCCGCTCCTTCCGGAGCACCTGTTCAGAAAACACTGAACTACCAGGCCTTAGGAGGGACGGCAGGTGACTGCAATGCTTGTTCTTCGTCTCTCTGTCTTCCCCGCTCTCGCTCTCTCCCTCCGTCCCTCCCTGTCTCTGCCCACGTCTCGACTGCCCGGTACATCTCAAATACAATCGGCAATCTCTCGCCTTTTGCTGAGCTATGCGTATATTCTTCGTCTGTACGCACATGGGTTCAGAGACCTTTCTGCTTCACGCCTTCTGTTGCATGCAAGCAACGATGCTAACCCTGCCGACTTCAACAAACAACGCATGGGAGCACACGGACCATGTCAGGTGGCAGCTAGGCAGCAGTGAGAGCAGGCATGTGTTCAGCCCAGAAACTGCGCTGACTTCCGCCACCATCTGGAAAGTATAAGCAGACAGCCTTGGCAAGTCCCAACCATCCACCCAAGTGCTTCCCGAACTCAGTCTTAGACTCTTAAATCTTCAGGACCAAGGTCCACCGTCCAACTTAAGCTCTTAAGCCAGACGTTTGAATACCTGAAATGCCAAGCCCCAAGCGCTCATAGGCTGTAACAGTTGGGTTCATGTTCGAGGTCCACCGCACCCGTCTACGGTGTTGGTGAGCTGGGTTCGGGATGTCTTGTCCTGAAGCATTCGGCTGTTTGAGGCATTAGGGTCAAGGGTTGAGACACTGCGTGAAGTCCAAACAGTTCAGCGAGTTTTTGCTGAGGGACCTCATGAATCTAAGTTACCATGCGCGGAATACTTTCCAAAACATGGTAAGTTGAATTCAGCTTGCGAAACGAGAGCGGGAACATCCTTGGTGCCCGACACTGTCATGCCCAGGATGATAGCAGTGGCCACCAGCAGCCCTTGGGAGGTGTTCGTGAAGGCCGCGACACCCGCCGAAAGGGAAAGAGCCTCACAGTTTGGCGGCCGACGGGAGTGGAAATCGATTGAAACTTCACAACCACCACGTTTGCTAGGAACGGTACACAAAGGGTACAGTACGAGAGAACTTGGCGTGCGGCTTCATCAACTTCTTCAAGTGCTCCTCCCGAATCCTAAACCCTATAATTTAGTCTCAGGGCTCAACACGACCTACACTAATCTTACAAGGACTCACTTCTTGAACGCCCACATAGGCTGTTCTGGTAAGTAGGGTTCGGGGGGTTAAGGTGTCGGAGTTGACGGATTTCGGTGTTTAGGACTTCCCTTGGGAGGCTGATGAGTGTGACAAACCAGTCAAATACCGACATTGACTCTACGGTCATCATCATCGTGGCCATCGCCGCCATCATCATCATCATCATCATCAACATCATTACCATCAGCATCAGCATCACCATTATCATGAACAACATCAGCGTCATCATAACCATGCCACGCGCTGGCTGAACCACACCGTTGCCTTTCGAGGTGCATTTGCACGCTCCGAGATTCCTGGACCCAAGACCGCAAACCAAGTAAAATCCTGAACACTCTCCCCCACTCCCTGAACGCTAATTAGGTTTGATATCTGCAGCCCAGTGAGCTCCACTGCCCAGCATGCTCTTAGCAAGACTCACCTGAAGAGGAGGGCTTCAGGTTCCAACGGGATTCGGGCCTCTAAGTTTCGCAGAACCTGCATGAAACTGCCATGTGCTTGTTCGGACAAGTCTGCAGGGTTGACGTCACAGAATGGTTTGGGGCCACCTGTCACAGGAATTGTATCCATGCCGAGAAGAACATGCCTACCCCGAGTGTTCCCTTAAATTAAATTCGAACTCAGACTCAGTACTAAAAATACCCACACTTTCCTGCCTCCAAACTAGGGCGCCTAGGACATCCTAACTAGATTCTAAACTCTGCAACTCTCGACTTCCAAAGAAGGACGACTGCAATCCATGTTGCACAAGCCATCGAAGCCACCTCCTTTGCAGGCTTTTCACTATGCAAACCAATTCAGACCTTTCAGACCACTCCACCCCATCCAAAACGCACCAGCACGGGAAATGGAAGTGCAGGCGAGAATCGGCAGTGCTGACCACGGTCGCTTTCGACGAGGAGTCTTCGACTACTTCTGCCTTCAATCCAAGGACTAAGGAAGGAAGTAGGGCTGGGTGTACGGCCTAGGGCCTAGGGCTTGGGGTCTGGAATAGGAATAAAGCTTTTGGCGAAATGGTGCGTAGTTGGTGCGCTGCTCGCTAGGATCTCTGGCTGGATCACTTCTGCACTACTTGCAAACCTGCAGAAGAAAGGAGAGCAACCGCTACGGCACCATGTGAAGAAGTTCATTCCTAAGGTCCTAAGACAACAGCCTATACCGCGACATGGCAGACTACTCCACAGCTGTCCAGCACCATTAATCCTGACGACCGGTTTGGGATTTGACCCATTCATATTTCCTTTTTTGAACCCAGACTCTGCCAATCAGCTGGGAAGCGGCACTTCCAGACTCTTGCATCCGGGAAGCGTCGCTAAAGTCAAACCTTAATCCCTCAACAAAGACCCGTAACCGTCTTAACCCCAGACAACTTGACGAATAAACTTGAGGCCGTAAGTCTTACATTACATGCTAAGCCCGGAACTCATCCACATGGATCAGGGGTGATGTGTTTCCGGATGGAAGCGCAACTGACGGCTTCCCTCGGGTTGAACTTCGGGCTCAGGATACGCAGATGCAAGCATGTTCTCAAGACGCTTAGCAGGGAGTCCATAGCAAAACACATCTTGTGGGAAATGTGCAAGCCTTAACATCAAATTCAACAAATTTGACATCAAGAGGTACTGAGCAGTGTCGGGTTGACCCCACCTAGGTGCTGAAATCTTCGTACAGGGAGGCAGCCAGCACCCAATTTTCGCTACCCTACTTCCTGCGAAATTGCATGTACCAGATTCACAAAGCGCCTCTTCAGGACGGTTCTGGAGGGCTGTCCGGGCCTGGATCACGGTGGCCACACTAGACGGACTTGACACACCAGCATATGAGCCGCCCCAAGCACAACACTCTCCGTGCGACTACACGGGGCTTTCAACGAGAAAGCTGAAACCAAACGAAGTCGTTTCCTTGTCAGCTGCCGGGGGCTGGCGACCCACCTGCCGGATTGGGCTTAATTCTGAAGCTGCAAAGCCAGTTCGCTTCTTCCCTTCAAGAAGGCAGGGCCTTCAAATCCTTCAAAAGCAGAATCTTTGTGGTAGCCTGCACGGCTATTCCAAGTCACTTTGAACCTCCACCTCCGATGTGCAGGCATCCTGGTAAGCCCCAGTTCTAGATTTCGGGATTCATGAGGTGTATTACTTGACTTGCAGCTCGGTTATGACCCTGGCACGGATCTCTAGCCCTAGCTTGGAGCCATGCAGCATCTTGCGTGCTCGAGCTGGCGACGCAACTTTGGGGGAGCCCTGTGCTGGTGCGGCCGTTGCACTTCGCATCGCCGCGGCTGCGTGAGATTAGGTTTTGTGTTTGTGAATCAGGCTGGATTTCTTGACTGAGAACCTCGGTCCTGAACCCGCAATACCAGTACCTAAACTTTCCCTAATTCCCGTCAAGACGTAAGCTCGGAAAGCCCGAGATGCTAATATATCGGGGCCTACAGGACTCGCAGTTATAGCGGGACGTATAGAGACTGTAATGTGCCCAAGTGCCTGCGCTCGGCCGAAGCCGGCAAGAGGCGTCTGCCGGAGCGGAATGCAGAAAGTTGCGGCCCCGGAGGCCTGGGACTCACTGCTGCCAACAGCAGCTTCTGCAAGTGCAGAAGTATCGGTCGCTGTACTGCGGCTGCTGCTGCTGCTGCCCCCACTTTCTGGTAAAATAAAGGAAGTTCTTACACTCTCGCAACTCGGACTTGGTGACAAGGGCGGCTGCCTCAGCAGTAGCACAAACGTTCCCAGGATCAAGGTAGTACTTGATTGTACTTGCGGCCTCCACCGGTCTTGGACATGGACAACGGAAAAAGTCGTCAGCACCAGCAGCACCAGCAGCAGAAGCACCACCAACACCAGCACCAGCACCAGCACCAGCACCAGCACCACTACTACCACATACACTGGGAGTGTGTGCTTGTTTGTTTTGTTTTTTTTTGTTTGTGTGTGTGTGTGTTCGCTTGCGCCCGCCTGCTTTTGTCGTGCATCATGTATGATTGAACAGACCATTAGATAAACAGATACGACAAGGAAAACACGGATCGGCAGTTAGCTATGTACATGTAGGCCTGTGAAACTCAGAACCAAGGGAAGGAAACCAGCAAGATCTACCTTCAAGAGTCGTCGACGAGGCCCGCACCACACAAAGGCACAGTGCTGCCGCGGCGATGCGGCAGGTTCCCCATCGTGAGAGCCGAGCCCCGGCCATGCTTCCTAATTAGCGTCTAGTGATGGATCTCCTGGACAATAAAGCCGAAAAGACTCCCGTAGATGCTGGGGATCCGTCATGTCTAAAAAAAAGGGGGCATTTGCAACCTTGCTTTGCTATGAGCTTCATTGAAGACCTGGGGTTTATGTGCATTGCGAGCTTTGCTTGCGATGAGCTGCCTTCTTGTCACCCAAAAGACTTGCCAGCGAAACAAACAAAATTCCACATGGGCGCCACAATCCTCCTTGTGCTTAGTGTTCTTCGAGCCTGGCCTGCGAGTAGGGCGGCTGACTGCATCGTCGCCCTGAGCCCTGAGCCCTAGGGCTCGCAACCCGACATCCTTGGGCGATGGGCCTGGCATCATGCAAGTTGCCACACCGGTTCCCACTGACGAAGAGAGGTGTATTCAGCCTTGAACTGGTGGATGCTTAGTTTTGGGATCTTTTCAATGTCACGCTAGGATAGGGACTAGCCAAAAACAGTGAACAGCGGATCTTTAGGGCCTACTTGCAAATTGGAGTGGATTTGCTGGATCGCATTCAGCTGGTCGCTTGGGACGGGCGGGTTTACGGTGGCGCATGCAGCCTGCAGTCGCGCAAGGCTCCACCACACATGGTACCCCACAGTAAACCCAGGCACCCTGAAGCCCAAAACATCCTCAAGCCCTCCGAAGTCACAACCAGCGCCCTAACTTCGAACCATGCCCAAGAGGCCCCTGTCGATCAAGCCCGTGAGAGCCGCTCTGGCCACTGAAGTATCGACCTCCGCTCTTGGCATCCGACGGAAGAGCTGGGGTTGGGTTTCTGGGTCTAGAGGTTTCGGGCTCAGTGCTAGGCTTTTTGGCTTTAGTTTAGGGAACATGTGGCGACGATATAAAGATGATGCCGTGCTACTGCAGATGATAAGGCAAGTCCAGGTGGCCACGATGCTCAACATCATCTTCCCCTTTTTTCAGCTGGCCAGAGTCACTGCGCCAATAATCGACTTACCGGAGCTCCACCTCGAGACCGACTGGATGAAAACAGGCCCCCGTTTAATTGCACGAATGAAGCCCGTTGAAGAGGTTGCGGTCCGTGCCTTCCTTTCTGGGGTATTACCATCCAAGCTGATTATGCTCCGAATTTGAAGCTTCACACCCGAAGATCCCTCACAGCGCGAATGAAAATGCTGGAGTAAGCGCCACGCGGACACCGAGAAACAGCAGTGCAGTCCTTAGCCGAGTTCAAAACAAAAGGCATCCGGGGCCCCGTCGGCATCTGCCTGGCTGGGCCTTCGTGTCGAGTGACCCAGCGTGTCATTCCGACACGTCTCCCCAAAGATAAACTCATTACTGTGAGGATAGATAGAAGCTTTTGATACACCGTTTGCTGTGACGGTTCTGCAACAGTGTGAACTTCACTCGTGGGGTCGCCTCCACATTGCAGCAGCCTCCAGGACTTCGCCTCTCTTAGAACTCAGAGCCCCGCGTTCCAGTGCCAATGGTTCGGCCCGTCCTGACATCTCACGATGAAGTCAGAAATACATACAACTGCATAAACTGGCCTAAGAAGTATATGTGCAAATACAGATACATATACACGTACACACACACACACATATATATATATGCTACGCCCCC